CATACCTTACACACACACACTGACATTGTCTCTCTCTTCTCCTCGTGTACAGCAAACAGCTTGGCTTTAATGCGTTTTTAAGACCTTCTGGTTATGATCAGACTTGGTACTAATTCTGATAGCATATCAGTATACATCTTTCATGTCAAGTAAATTTCCTTCTCAGGATCTCAATTGTACCTTTGTTATGTCCCAGAGACGGGTATATATCGAGCCATGTCACTAGCTAGTATTTGAATTTCAACATCCATGACCAAAATTACGTTTTTATTTCACGGACACTTTAGCGCCATTGGGTAAGTTCCCTTCTACATGTATCCACCCAACAGGATAGTTGCTTTACATTGTTCCAGGAGGTATATAACCAGACATACAAATGTACCATATTGTTGAGCCAACCTCAGCCTCCCAGTCTCTACATTTTTACGTAATTGAGTTACACCAACAGACAATCATTACAACCTAATATTGTGCGGAACAGAAGTTTTTTGTTCCTCGTGATCTAGTGGGCGAGTTTCGCGATTCATAAAACTGTTGACCTCAACCGGTTGTTTAAGATTCCTATCGATCGACATTCGTAATATTAAGATCATAAGATACTCTTCGTATTCATTGACTATCCGGTGTATGGGTGTGTGTGTGTGTATGTGTGTGAGGGTGTGTGTGTGTGTGTGTGTGTGTGTGTGTGTGTGTGTGTGTGTGTGTGATTGGTGTGTGTGTGTGTGCGATTGGTGTGTGTGTGTGTGATTGTGTGTGTGTGTGTGTGTGTGTGTGTGTGTGTGTGTGTGTGTGTGTGTGTGTGTGTGTGTGTGTGTGTGTGTGTGTGTGTGTGTGTGTGGTGGTGGTGTGTGCGTGTGTGTGTCTGTGTCTGTAGTGTAGACCAACATCTTTCATATAACCTAGAATTTCATATATCTCAACAGTTTCAAAAAGGGTCTTAAGACTTTAGAAAAAATTCTCAAGTAGACAGAAGGTCAATGCAGTCCAATAAAAATGTTTAACGGTGAACGGCTCATCGCATGATATGCACCGAGGATAATCTTCACCTTTAAACATAGATGAAAGTGTAAGGTAAGTATAGCCCATCCTAAGATGGACAAGGGCAACTTCGATAGCAGGGAGACCATTCATCGATGATTTTACGGAATATAATCTATTATCGGTATATTGATTCCATTCCTCCTCCCACTGAGCTGTTACAAAATGTTTGATAAATGGTTTAAAATCAGTAAAATGAAGTTTAAAAACAACATGTGGTAGCGATAAAGCGTCCTTTGCGACACGATCTGCTTTTTCATTGCCTGGTATTCAGATGTGACCAGGAATCCAGCAAAAAGCAAAACGAAAGTTTAAGGTAACTTCATGATATAGTATTAATGTATTCGGAATGAAAATATTTTCGATATTTCTATTGCTAAGACTTTGTAGTACAGAACAGATAACAGCTCTCATTACTTGGTTTGTTTGAATATGTTCCAGGGCGAGGTAGATAGCTCGCACTTCCGCCGCGAAGATTGAGGCGTTATTTGGTAGCCGGCATCCATAGCCTTGATCTTGTGTAACCCTGGCCGCGGCAACCTTAATATTTTCTTTTGAACCATCAGTATATAACGGTAGGCATTTTATATTTCAGCCACAAATTCGAGAAGGATGAACAAGTATTCAGAATATTTATAATATTCAGTGTTTGAAGGCATTTGGATTTAAGATTTTTTATATGTGGAAGGAATGACAATTTCCTGTCGAATATTACACCAAGGAATTTGGTTTGCTCAACAACTGGAATGGGTGCACCACAGAGAGATAGATTTAGATCGTCGTGTTGTTTCCGTATTTGACAAAAATGCATACAAACTGTTTTTGATTGTGAAAATTTAAATCCAATTTGATCTACCCAGATTTGGAGTCGATTCAAACATTGTTGAAGTTGTCTTTCAACGGTATTCATATGCTTAGATCGATAGCATATAATGAAGTTATCAACATGCAGAGTGCCCTCTGTAGAAGTGGATAATGTTTTAACAATATTGTTAGTTTTAATACCAAAACGTGTAACTGAGAGGATAATGCTGCTTTGTGGTACGCCCATTTCCTGCTGACGAACATCAAAAAGGGTAATTCCATTCCGAAGTTGAAATACTCTATCTGATAGAAAATTATGAACAAAATTTGGTAGATTATCCCTAATACCTATATCATGCAGATCTTTTATTATGTCGTATTTCCACGTTGTGTCGTAAGCCTTTTTCCAAATCAAAAGGTTATTTGAAGAAATTATGAATAAACCGAAAGACAGATTTATTTCAACATTAAACTAAATTGGCATTTTGGACAAGGTCAAGCATGCATGTGCCCACATTGGTTAAGAGATTCCATCTGAATCCCTAAATCGATCCCACAATGAAAGCGTGATTAAATCACGTATACAGGTCCAAAGTCTCGTGTGATGTAGGCCGTTTGGACGTGTATAGCAATCTAATGTGCATATAATGATTATCTTCACTCCATTTCAAATGCAGTCTATCGTTTTAACGAATTCTCTGTGTTATTGATTAATGGCTATATACACATCTATCGGCACCGTGGGTCTTGTTCATATCGGTCAATATGACAGTAACAATTTCAGAAATTCATTTTATATTCCAAGCGAATTCTTTAATACAACTTAAAATGATGAAATGATGTTTATATTACCCACAGAGGACGCTTGGTGTGTAGTCAATGTGTTAGGTATATTACGTAATGCTGACTCTCTATTAATGTCTAGTCAAATTAACATCGTTACCATCACAATTCCGTCAATAGTTGTCATCCTTAATTTCGTTATTTTATGGTAACATTTTCGTTAAATTCTTTAAGTATTGATGTGAAGGAGATAAAAAAATGTCTGAAAGTGACAGGATACGTCAAAGGAAAATAATGCTAAAAAATGTCGTCGTTCTGATAACATATTTTCGTTAGTATTTCTTTGTGAGAATTTCAGTAGAGATCTAAGTAACAGCCGATAAAAAGACGCCATTTTGTTTTGCTTCACCAGTAGCAGAAGGTAAGAAAGAATGGGACGAGGAGTTGGGTGTGGTGTTGACTTCAAAAGAACTCCTTATTGAATATGTTTAAGGGTTGAATCTACAATATTTCAATCAACCTTCACCGATCAGCAGCTGACACTAATAGACATTCACTGAATCCGTTTCTTGGTCATAATTAATCGCAATTACCAGTTGTAATTCGCTGATTAAGCATCCAACTAAATTTTTTTGTGGACAAATTATGACCAGATTCAAACATATGTAGACGAATTAACTTGTCGTCAAATATTGTCTATCGCAAATTCATTTGACAAGAGGAAACATACTAAGTTGATCGTCGATCTTTGGTCTCTAACAAGCAGCGCTTGTCAAAATGTCAGCAATTACCGACAAAGGGAACGCTTTATGAATATTTCGTTCTTCATCAAGACGCCAGGGGATTGTCTAATTCATTACGTTATCGTCAAAATAATGCAAATATATTGCTAAAAGCCTTTGATTTGTCATGGTTGAAACTCAGAAGTTGACCAGATTCGTCCAGAACAGGTCAATAAACCCAATAGTCAATCGTCGTCAGCTCAGTCATAAATATAGTGTTTGAGAGAATTTTATGTGGTGAATATTACAAGTTAACTCCATATTAAAATTCTGTGTGTGGAATGGATTTCAAGTAAACTTAATCAAGTCATTTGTGGATAACACCTGTGTTGTCTACAGCACGTGAACACAATCCACACGATGTTGTTTTCCGGTGTACAGCACGTGAACAATCCATATGATGTTGTTTGTGTGGTGTACAGCACGTGAACAATCCATATGATGTTGTTTGTGTGGTGTACATGACGTGAACAGTCTATACGATGTTGTTTGTGTGGTGTACAGCACGTGAACAATCCATTCGAAGTTGTTTGTGTGGTGTACATGACGTGAACAATCTATACGAAGTTGTTTGTGTGGTGTACAGCACGTGAACAGTCCATACGAAGTTGTTTGTGTGGTCTACAGCACGTGAACAGTCCATACGAAGTTGTTTGTGTGGTGTACAGCACGTGAACAATCCATATGATGTTGTTTGTGTGGTGTACAGCACGTGAACAGTCCATACGAAGTTGTTTGTGTGGTGTACAGCACGTGAACAATCCATACGGTGTTGTTTGTGTGGTGTACAGCACGTGAACAATCCATACGGTGTTGTTTGTGTGGTGTACAGCACGTGAACAATCCATATGATGTTGTTTGTGTGGTCTACATGACGTGAACAGTCTATACGGTGTTGTTTGTGTGGTCTACAGCACGTGAACAATCCATATGATGTTGTTTGTGTGATGTACAGCACGTGAACAGTCCATACGGTGTTGTTTGTGTGGTGTACAGCACGTGAACAATCCATATGATGTTGTTTGTGTGGTGTACAGCACGTGAACAGTCCATACGAAGTTGGTTATTTGGTGTACAGCCATGAAAACTACAGAAGAAGTTGTTGCTGTGGTGTGCAGCAAGAGAAAAGTTAACCACATATTAAGACTTTTGTGTTTTGCATAGCACCAGGAAATGACACATGAAAGGCTAAACAGTAATTGTGGGATAGAGAATCTTTTGTGTGGTGACGGTATAGAATATATTTGTGGGACAGAGTAACTTTTGTGTGGTGACGTCATAGAATATATCTGTGGGACAGAGTATATTTTGTGTGGTGACGTCATAGAATATATTTGTGGGACAGAGTATATTTTGTGTGGTAACGTCATAGAATATATTTGTGGGACAGAGTATATTTTGTGTGGTGACGTCATAGAATATATTTGTGAGACAAAGTAACTTTTGTGTGGTGACGTCATAGAATATATTTGTGAGACAAAGTAACTTTTGTGTGGTGACGTCATAGAATATATTTGTGAGACAAAGTAACTTTTGTGTGGTGACGTTATACAATAGTTTTGTTATCTATTTGATAATTACATTATTACGTACCACTTGTTGATGAAGATGGCGGTGAAGACGATAGGGAGATCGATGGTATAAGTTATACAGATGTCGACATAGACATTTCCGGTCAGGCTATCCATTCTGTCAAGTAAACAACGGTAGATGGCACAACTGATGCACCTGTAACGAAACAATTTCCGTTATAGACAAAGTAGTTTACTTTTGTTCACATATGATAGTCTAAAGATACCCGAAAGCAGTAACCAGCTTCCTGTCTTTGCATGTAAGTCATTTACCAATCCGGTTGCCGGATACACTGTAAAATAATCACAACTTCCTGTCACGAAATATATCCTACAACAGTAAAAAACTTCCTGTCACCGGATATATCATACAACAGTAAAAAACTTCCTGTCACCGGATATATCATACAGCAGTAAACAACTTCCTGTCACCGGATATATCCTACAACAGTAAAACACTTCCTGTCACCGGATATATCATACAACAGTAAACAACTTCCTGTCACCGGATATATCCTACAACAGTAAACAACTTCCTGTCACCGGATATATCCTACAACAGTAAACAACTTCCTGTCACCGGATATATCCTAAAACAGTAAACAACTTCCTGTCACCGGATATATCCTACAACAGTAAAACACTTCCTGTCACCGGATATATCATACAACAGTAAACAACTTCCTGTCACCGGATATATCCTACAACAGTAAACAACTTCCTGTCACCGGATATATCCTACAACAGTAAACAACTTCCTGTCACCGGATATATCCTACAACAGTAAACAACTTCCTGTCACCGGAGATATCCTACAACAGTAAACAACTTCCTGTCGCCGGATATATCCTAAAACTGTAAACAACTTCCTGTCACCGGATATATTCTTCAACAGTAAACAACTTCCTGTCACCGGATATATCCTACAACAGTAAACAACTTCCTGTCACCGGATATATCCTACAACAGTAAACAACTTCCTGTCACCGGATATATCCTACAACTGTAAACAATTCCTGTCACCCGATATATCCTAAAACAGTAAACAACTTCCTGTCACCGGATATATTCTTCGACAGTAAACAACTTCCTGTCACCGGATATATCCTACAACAGTAAACAACTTCCTGTCACCGGATATATCCTACAACAGTAAACAACTTCCTGTCACCGGATATATCCTACAACAGTAAACAACTTCCTGTCACCGGATATATCCTACAACAGTAAACAACTTCCTGTCACCGGATATAATAGTAATAAACTTCAGTTTCCTAATATATATACCAAACAGTTTCATTTTCCTGTTATAGAAAACATCACAAAGGTATCAAACTAGATGAATGGACTAAATTTGTACAGATGTCCTCGTCTCTCTCGACTGTATGTATAACAACAATAGTGTGAACCGTTGGAGAGCCAATTGTGATTTTCTATCTCAAGCAAAATAATTTATAGTGTAGACACCAATCGTGTCTAGAAAGAGGAAACAATGTATTAATATGTGGGTACCACGTGACGTCTAAGTCATTTATAAAATGGGATACGTGGAGTATAGTCTAATACTGTAGTGATGACATACCCAATACATTACTTGTCTTTGTTAAACAACATGTAACACGTGATGATGTCTTTTCTTGACTCTTTATCACGTTACTAAAAACGGAGACCTTTACTAAGACGAAAGCAGTTCAAATAATGCAATATTAGTTGACACGTCACGACATTCTTTTCGCAAAATTCGTCAGGTTATCTCCCATGAAAGTATGAGTCAAAATACCATTATTCTACATTGTAGGTGTTTCGGTTAATCAGAAAACCATTCCACCCATGACCTTGAATATGGGCCCAAGACATTTCTTTTCGCATATTTTGTTGGGCTTCGTCTCATAAAGTTATCAGTCAAATTCAGTTACTTTTGACCTTTTGTTAAGATGAGAGAAATCCTTTGATGGAAACTATTTACGCCAGACGGATGATGGACGCCGCGCCACCAACGGCATAAGATCACGTGGACCTTTAGGTCAGGTGAGTTACAACACACAACAAACATCCGTCTGTCTATGTTTACATGACATCTTCCATTAACTATCACCCATACACTATCCAGTCCGCTTCGATTCCATACCGTATCTTATTTCGAATACTCATAATAACACTTCTGTACAAACATGGAAAAAAACTTACCAACACACCATGGCAGCTATGGTGTATCTACAAGATTTTCTGGTGCGAATCAAGTCCGTGAAAGTATGAGTTCTCTTGTGCATAGAATTAAGGACGGCGAGTCTAGCTCGATCACACAGTGACGTCACATCCGGTACGGATGTAGTATTAGCTGACGTTATTTCTCTGATGCCAGCTTCAGATTCCGCGAATCTTTCCCGGCATCCGTACCATCGAAAACTTTCCGGAAATATACTGTAAAACATAAAACAGAAGAATGTGAACAATTATACTGTAACCGTATGTCACAGTATGTCACCGTATGTCAATACTACTGTCTAGATAGACTTCTATCAGTCACCGTGTGTCAACACTTCTGTCTAGATAGACTTCTATCAGTCACCGTGTGTCAATACTACTGTCTAGATAGACTTCTATCAGTCACCGTGTGTCAATACTACTGTCTATATAGACTTCTATCAGTCACCGTGTGTCAATACTACTGTCTAGATAGACTTCTATCAGTCACCGTGTGTCAATACTACTGTCTAGATAGACTTCTATCAGTCACCGTGTGTCAATACTACTGTCTAGATAGACTTCTATCAGTCACCGCGTGTCAATATTACTGTCTAGATAGACTTCTATCAGTCACCGTGTGTCAACACTTCTGTCTAGATAGACTTCTATCAGTCACCGTGTGTCAATACTACTGTCTATATAGACTTCTATCAGTCACCGTGTGTCAATACTACTGTCTAGATAGACTTCTATCAGTCACCGCGTGTCAACATTAGAGCTGTAAAAAAAGTTTAGTATAGACCCAATACCCCTCACCAGCACCATTACAACAGACATAAATCCTCCCATTTCTTGTGTAGTATCATCTTTATGATACTGCAGACCTTCAAAGAGTCCATGGTTATTTTATTGCACTAAATCAATACAAGTATAAACAAATATGATGACACCTGATGCCTGTGGTAAGGACGACGCAGTCGGCTGTTACGATTATTTAATGTATAAATGTAACGGTACCGGCTTGGTTCATCATAGCCACGATAAACATAGAGATCTATATGACGAACAAATGAGCTCGGACATTTGTTCCAAAATAAAAAAAAAATACTTGTAAAGATATGTAATACTGAAACTGATGGTTTTCTGTAAACTGGCTGAACGTTCTATCAACCTTAACTAACACATACCGTGAATGCCGAGCAAACGAGAATCGGTTGTTTTGTTTGATGGCGATAAATCTGAGGATATTTAAAAAAAAAGTCTCTTTAGCCAACCTCTGTTTTGGAATTTTCAAAACAAGCGTTCAAGGATTGCAGGGCAGACACCTATAAATATTACTAGATATTTCCGTAACTCTCGTTCGTCAATCATTCCGGAGTTTAGAAACTGTACTGTGTCCGCACATCAATGTATCAAAAGAAGATGCACGTGTCGACCGTCTACGGTAATTAACATCGGTTACATCTCAAAATTCTTCAGAGAATACTTAATAGATTCTTTCGACCAATTACCATTTGTAAAATTCCTTACTATTCTAAATCATTTCGTCTGAACATTTAGTATATTTGAAGAAATGCTATCTTTAAGACCTATTGGTCCATTACGGAGAGCAGCCCCAGAGAACAATAAGTCACATAATGGTTTATAACGTCTCACTGCGTGGCAGCACACAGACAATAAACAATAGGATGTGGTCAGATTGTAATGGATGGCCTAGTTACGGAAACGGAGACCGGTCCTCCGGGACTAATCACAGACAGTTTAAATCACCGTCGATACACGATACAACCAATGATATGATCGACAAGGCGAACTTCTAACCTGATAGAGACAAGAACAACTATGTCATGGCTGAATATAAATGGAACGTAAATGTAATTATACCTACATAAATATCGACATTCATACTATTCTCGCCTGTCTCCTCAGTCCTACATAGTCTTTCGACACACATACTATTCTCGCCTGTCTCCTCAGTCCTACATAGTCTATCGACACACATACTATTCTCGCCTGTCTCCTCAGTCCTACATAGTCTATCGACACACATACTATTCTCGCCTGTCTCCTCAGTCCTACATAGTCTATCGACACACATACTATTCTCGCCTGTCTCCTCAGTCCTACATAGTCTATCGACACACATACTATTCTCGCCTGTCTCCTCAGTCCTACATAGTCTTTCGACACAAATACTATTCTCGCCTGTCTCCTCAGTCCTACATAGTCTATCGACACACATACTATTCTCGCCTGTCTCCTCAGTCCTACATAGTCTATCGACACACATACTATTCTCGCCTGTCTCCTCAGCCCTACATAGTCTATCGACACACATATTATTCTCGCCTGTCTCCTTAGTCCTACATAGTCTATCGACACACATATTATTCTCACCTGTCTCCTCAGTCCTACATAAATATCGACACACATACTTTTGTCGCCTGTCTCCTCAGCCCTACATAGTCTATCGACACACATACTATTCTCGCCTGTCTCCTCAGTCCTACATAGTCTATCGACACACATACTATTCTCGCCTGTCTCCTCAGTCCTACATAAATATCGACACACATACTTTTGTCGCCTGTCTCCTCAGCCCTACATAGTCTATCGACACACATACTATTCTCGCCTGTCTCCTTAATCCTACATAGTCTATCGACACACATACTATTCTCGCCTGTCTCCTCAGTCCTACATAAATATCGACACACATACTTTTGTCGCCTGTCTCCTCAGCCCTACATAGTCTATCGACACACATACTATTCTCGCCTGTCTCCTTAGTCCTACATAGTCTATCGACACACATACTATTCTCGCCTGTCTCCTCAGTCCTACATAGTCTATCGATACACATACTATTCTCGCCTGTCTCCTCAGTCCTACATAGTCTATCGACATACATACTATTCTCACCTGTCTCTTCAAACTAAAATAGATGAAATTCATCAGTGTTCTTCGTTTACAATGAAACCAAAGTGAGCAAAATCTCCCATCACATCCCCTCATCTTTTTATTGCAGACGTAGTTACCTGTCACTTTGCACTCTGACTTTGACAAGCGACCACCAAACAGGTACTAGATGTAGATATATAATCAAAACGTTGAAAAAAATGGTTAGAATTCTCAAAAATAAGCCGGTAACGTGCACACATACGTATATAGAAACGTACACTTAGGTAGCATTTATTAATAGAAAAATGTTTATTATTTTTAAGTATAGAAAGTTGGACAATGATAAATCATTGGAGGACTGTTACAGATAACAAGCACGGCTATTGGTATTTATAAACCATGTGACGTAGACTGCCTGGCGGAAAACTCACCACATTCATGTGCAATGTGGAGTGAGTCTCCACGCAGGTGTATATGTTGAAACCAAGGTATGAAGGCACAAAGCGTGTAACACAAAGTATCCAATTATTCGAAGGATATCAAGTCTTGTGAATATTACCAGTATCATTTAACTTTATTAAAAAAACAAACAAAACATTTTGTTTCGCTGTGCGGCTAGAAATATGCTAAAACAAATTGTTTTCGCCATGGTTCCCCTTTGCTGCCGGAATAACATTTCAAATATTTGCAAAAAATCAACAGTTGAATGGCATGTTGTCTGGAAAAATCCGCTGTTTTCTAATCATCCGATCAAATCGTCAAAGCTAATTTTACGTTTGGAGAGGCCTTCTTTGTCTCTGCGTAGCTGTAAATTGAGTTATGCTAAGATATCGCGATGTATGTGTACAATCTCCCCAAACGTAACAATTTATCTCGATGGATGTGTACAGTCTCCCCAAACGTAACAATTTATCTCGATGGATGTGTACAGTCTCCCCAAACGTAACAATTTATCTCGATAGATATGTACAATCTCCCCAAACGTTACAATTTATCTCGAAGGATATGTACAATCTCCTCAAACGTAACAATTTATCTCGATGGATATGTACAATCTCCTCAAACGTAACAATTTATCTCGATGGATGTGTACAATCTCCCCAAACGTTACAATTTATCTCGATGGATATGTACAATCTCCTCAAACGTTACAATTTATCTCGATGGATATGTACAATCTCCTCTAACGTAACAATTTATCTCGATGGATGTGTACAATCTCCCCAAACGTTACAATTTATCTCGATGTATATGTACAATCTCCCCAAACGTTACAATTTATCTCGAAGGATGTGTACAATCTCGCCAAACCTAACAATTTATCGCAAGGTATCAGGCGGAATTCCGTCGCCAATCGGATTTTCATACCGAAGGTCTGTACGTCATGGTTATGTCCAAAAACTCCAGCAGCAACGTGGCGAACATTTAACTTGATATCGATGATAACGTGTTACAGTGATAGTGCTGATGTATTGGCTGGTTATCTTAGGGGTGTGTATCTCAGCTGAAGTCTGTCGATGCCTCCTACTGCCTTCAGGATAAGCCGCCATCTTCCCGAAGTCGTTATCCTTCCTGTCGTGAAAGCCATTTGACGAACATGGCCAAACTGGCACGCAAAGTCAGTCAGGCGCGACAGACAATTGTGTGATCAGTAGAAACACTAACTAAGAATAACATCGCTGAAATATTTATGTCGCATGTTCTCTCTACCAAACTAAAGTCAGAAGTACGCTATTTTGTCACGAAATAGTGCGAGGTTCTGTGTGTACAACAGATTTGTGTACTTGTAGAAACTCTAATGAGTTATTATTTTGTATCCTGTGACTTCTGTTTAAAACGCGTCTTCGTTATTAACAAAGATGGCGTTATTTGCGAGAGTTAAATATAATATTTCCCGTTTATGTTTGTGCATTTATCAAAACCGCATGTGAATTTTGTGATATGGATTTACATACCTTACCTCAGGCATATTCGACATGTCACTGTAGAGCCCTCAAAAAAGTCGATTGACACGGAAATATTGTCGCGTTAACATGCACATTGATATAGACACAAAAAAACTAGTAGTACCAAGTGCACTACCAAGCGAGAGGAAAAACTTTACAAAGTTCAGGTTTTTGTTTTCAAAACAAAATCTGAATCAATTAATGAGGAATGAAAATCGATATCATTTTACGCAATAATTTGAAAAAAAGAAATGTTCCTATCGAGTGCATTCTGGATCGTTTGCAGACATTGCAGAAAAATATGTGGAAGAATTTAACTGTAATATGTCACTGTCACAAGCTCGGAGACTAATTCGTTTACGCTTTATGAAAACAAACCAACTTTACTGTGTATATTTGATCTGCATCATGTCAACAAATTACAAAAGGAACCATAGCTACGATAACAAAAAAAAAAAAAATACATAAAAAGAGTAAACAAACATTTATCGTTGCGAGCCGACCGGCGTCGACGTCATTTTTAGTCGTCTGTTCGCTGTAGAAATACTCTTTGAGATGACCCTTATTTATCGTTGCGAGCCGACCGGCGTCGACGTCATTTTTAGTCGTCTGTTCGCTGTAGAAATACTCTTTGAGATGACCCTTATTTATCGTTGCAAGCCGACGGGCGTCGACGTCATCGTTCGTCGTCTGTTCGTTGTAGAAATACTCTTTGAGATGACCCTTACTTTTTGTTCGCATTTATGGATACGGACTACCAATCACACCAACATAAACAGAGCAAGTAACATGTGTTTGTGGTGATTGTAGGTCATACCCCATGTTTAATACATATATCTCTAATGTTTTCTACCAGTTGTTGTTTAATGGGTAATATAACTTGAAAAACTTGTTAAAGATTGGTATGAAATGAATGCTCCCTTATGTTTCTTTACGTTATCGGCTTAGTTTTGAGAACCAGATTAATCATAAGCATTGCTTTTTGGTTCAAAACGAGCCAAGTGTAACATTTGACATGTTGACAACCAAAACCATTTCAGGTAAAACAAACGATGATGTGTTAGTATAAACAAAATCTGTTGATGATTTCATGAGAAACATTATAGGAATCTTGGTAGCATGTACGCTCACACGGACGCACGCACGTCTGTTCGTCAATCCCTGTTCAGCTTCACTGTAAACAACGTACAATCGTTATTCTTCTGACCTTCGGTTGACGAACTCTAAATGTTGTTTTACTTGTATTTTACCAAAATAACGTCGTTTAATTTCGTTTTACGCTGCATGCAAGACAAACATGCGCGGAATGGTGATCAAATTGATAGCATTAAGAACCAAGTATAGTTTGATTTCATTAAGAAATACGAGATTAAAAGTTCTCTGATTTACGATGAAGGAGAGAGCAATATAAACAGTTTACAGAAATGCTAGTTTATAGTTGTTCAGAAGTACTCACAAATATATACCAATAAAAGGCAGACTAGTGGCGGAGGTTGTGATAGCGAGGTACCGCCAGTTTTGTGTGAGCCAGCCTTCGAAGGAGAGAAGTATGATCCCAAGCGTCCACAGACAGGAACACACACACACGTCCCGCCAGTTCTGACCAATATGTTCGACCATCAACACCATGCTAGTCACGATGAATCCTCCTGTAACATCATCACGCCAAAATAAGAAGCCATTCAAAAATACCGTGAAAAAATGGAAAGTTAATAAATGTAAGAATGAAGTCCATTGTTAAAGGAGATGTAAAGCATTGTAAAGCACGATGTAACATTCATCTTTTACAATAACACAGGTTACTTACCAGCAAACAGTCCAACGAGACTTCGGAACAGGAAAAAGTTGAACCAGTCTTCGGACAGAGCCACCATTCCCTGTGACATTGACATGCATGCGAACATGAAGAATAGGATGACCTTCCTGCCGACAAGGTCGCCGAAGAACCCTCCGACGAAGGCGCCTGCAATAAGGCCTCCACTCTGGCCATACCATATGTACTCATAGAGAATGGCGTCTGGTTTCCATGTCATCCACTGTAACAAAGGGGAAAAACTCACGGTAATGATGAACAATCTCTCCCGGAAATGTAGTCATCCTTAATACGTCAAGATTCTCGAGCACAACTTCATTTGAAGTTAACCGAGCCAATAAATTAAACGATTGCAAAAGATTCCGTTTATCTGGTCACTGCGATAATTTGAAGGCAACTTTTATTAGACTATATGAAACCAAAATTTGAGTTACTCTGACTTAAATATCTCTCTTACGTGACGTTAGGATGCACGTGACAAAATGAAGTTATGACATCAAGACTATGTGAATCTTCAGCCAATCATAGCTCCGCTTAATGTTATTATGCGTGTTGTAGTGGGTGTTATAACAGTGAGAAAAGAGTACTTATGCATTTATCATCTATCAGCAGAATTTCCCCTTGCCATAAGGTCTCTGCCGCTGGATGTATCGTGATGATCTGGCTGTATACTACACAAATAGGTCATTTGAGCATTATCGCTTGTCGCTGGTGCACAAGAAGTTCAAAATATGTTTGATACTGTGAATATACTTACTTGAGCGAGGGCATGTCAAATACAAATTTCACAATAACAAATTGTATATATAGTTTCAGTTAGAATTTTATCTACAGAGGATTGTCGTTTTCACCTTTGGTAAGGTCCATCTGATGTCTGACGTGGTGTTGGATGTCTCCTCGCACTCTCGAGTCTCGATGATAGTTGTCTGTACCAGAGGAAGCTCGGTGCTGTTTGTAAAGTTTCCAATAGGAAGAATCTGTCTTAGCACTGGTTTGAGGCACGGTTCCTCTTCCCACGAATTGTTCTTGAGAAAGTTGAGATACATCAAAATCATCCAGCAAAGGGATTGTAACAATGTGGTCAGGAAAAAGAGACGTTTCTGATAGAATCCGAACGGACGTGTACGACTGAGGATAGCTTCAAACGCTTTGGCGCTTTCATCGCATGTCATGGTCTTCGGAAATCATGGTTTTAACGTAGATAGCCGTGGTCAAAACATTTCAGTTACCTCCGTGGAGACTGAAAAACAAAACAGGCCATGGTATTGGTTTGATCAAATATCAACCCGTCCGTAAAGTTTTCTACGGTGTTAAACAAAACATAGACGTCGGGTTAATGGCAAGGGAAAAAACAATACTTGGAATGCATTTGTTATTGATTAAATGAGAATGTATATCATATCTCAGGTATGCACACCAAGGTTTGTTGATTAAATGGGAATATATATCATATCTCACGTATGTACACCAAGGTTTGTTGGTTAAACGGGAATATATATCATATCTCACGTATGTACAACAAACTTTGTTGATTAAACGGGAATATATATCATATCTCACGTGTGTACACCAAACTTTGTTGATTAAATGAGAATATATATCATATCTCACGTATGTACACCAAACTTTGTTGATTAAACGGGAATATATATCATATCTCACGTATGTACACCAAACTTTGTTGATTAAATGGGAATATATATCATATCTCACGTATGTACAACAAACTTTGTTGATTAAACGGGAATATATATCATATCTCACGTATGTACACCAAACTTTGTTGATTAAATGGGAATATATATCATATCTCACGTGTGTACACCAAACATTGTTGATTAAATGGGAATATATATCATATCTCACGTATGTACACCAAACTTTGTTGATTAAATGAGAATATATATCATATCTCACGTATGTACACCAAACTTTGTTGATTAAATGGGAATATATATATCTCACGTATGTACAACAAACTTTGTTGATTAAACGGGAATATATATCATATCCCACGTATGCACACCAAGGTTTGTTGATTAAATGGGAATATATATCATATCTCACGTATGTACACCAAGGTTTGTTGATTAAATGAGAAGATATATCATATCTCACGTATGTACACCAAACATTGTTGTTTAAATGGGAATATTTATCATATCTCACGTATGTACACCAAGGTTTGTTGATTAAATGGGAATATATATCATATCTCACGTATGTACACCAAGGTTTGTTGATTAAATGGGAATATATATCATATCTCACGTATGTACACCAAGGTTTGTTGATTAAATGGGAATATATATCATATCTCACGTATGTACAACAAATTTTGTTGATTAAACGGGAATATATATCATATCTCACGTATGCACACCAAGGTTTGTTGATTAAATGGGAATATATATCATATCTCACGTATGCACAACAAACTTTGTTGATTAAATGGGAATATATATCATATCTCACGTATGTACACCAAGGTTTGTTGATTAAATGGGAATATATATCATATCCCACGTATGTACACCAAGGTTTGTTGATTAAATGGGAATATATATCATATCTCACGTATGTACACCAAACTTTGTTGATTAAATGAGAATATATATATCTCACGTGTGTACACCAAACTTTGTTGATTAAATGAGAATATATATATCTCACGTATGTACACCAAACTTTGTTGATTAAATGAGAATATATATATCTCACGTATGTACACCAAACTTTGTTGATTAAACGGGAATGTATATCATATCTCAGGTATGTACACCAAACTTTGTTGATTAAATGGGAATATATATCATATCTCACGTGTGTACACCAAACATTGTTGATTAAATGGGAATATATATCATATCTCACGTATGTACAACAAACTTTGTTGATTAAACGGGAATATATATCATATCTCACGTATGTACACCTAACATTGTTGATTAAATGGGAATATATATCATATCTCACGTATGTACAACAAACTTTGTTGATTAAACGGGAATATATATCATATCCCACGTATGCACACCAAGGTTTGTTGATTAAATGGGAATATATAGCATATCTCACGTATGTACACCAAGGTTTGTTGATTAAATGAGAATATATATCATATCTCACGTATGTACACCAAACATTGTTGTTTAAATGGGAATATGTATCATATCTCACGTATGTACACCAAGGTTTGTTGATTAAATGGGAATATATATCATATCTCACGTATGTACACCAAGGTTTGTTGATTAAATGGGAATATATATCATATCTCACGTATGTACACCAAGGTTTGTTGATTAAATGGGAATATATATCATATCTCACGTATGTACAACAAACTTTGTTGATTAAACGGGAATATATATCATATCTCACGTATGCACACCAAGGTTTGTTGATTAAATGGGAATATATATCATATCTCACGTATGCACAACAAACTTTGTTGATTAAATGGGAATATATATCATATCTCAGGTATGTACACCAAGGTTTGTTGATTAAATGGGAATATATATCATATCCCACGTATGTACACCAAGGTTTGTTGATTAAATGGGAATATATATCATATCTCACGTATGTACACCAAACATTGTTGATTAGATGGGAATATATATCATATCTCACGTATGTACACCAAACATTGTTGATTAAATGAGAATATATGTCATATCTCACGTATGTACACCAAACATTGTTGATTAAATGGGAATATATATATCTCACGTATGTACACCAAACTTTGTTGTTAAATGAGAATATATATCATATCTCACGTATGTACACCAAGGTTTGTTGATTAAATGGGAATATATATATATCTCACGTATATACACCTAACGTTGTTGATTAAATGAGAATATATTTCATTCCCTAAATATGTACATCAAACTTTGTTGATTAAATAAGAATATGTATCATACCCTAAATATGTACACCAAACTTTGTTGATTAAATGGGAATATATATCATATCTCAAGTATGTACACCAAGGTTTGTTGATTAAATGAGAATATATATCACATCCCACGTATGCACACCAAGGTTTGTTGATACAGGTTGTATCAACGGGTCTCTAAATGTTAAAAGATATTGATTGAGGAGCTTTTTACAAACCCTGGTGGAGATAAATAGTAGTATAATATTGATATTGTCAAAACTGACATTATAAGTTTCTTCGATCCGGCCTTAGCTTACAGGAACCTGATCACTATTAACGTGTTGTTATGGTAACTTACAGCAAACATTGTCCTAGAGCGATATCTAAACAAAGCTGTTAAAAACTTGTAATTAATTAAGACAGATTGCTGTGAGACGTGAATTTATAGAGCACATTTATCATACCAAACTCCTGCAGCCACAACTCATACTGTGGGAGTGTCGAGCCAAAACTGGCGGTGTGTTTGGCCAGTGTTGTTGGAAGTAGTTGCGAGAAAATCTCTTTAAAATCTGTTTGTTTGAACCTGAGTAACATTTCATCATTATGTAAAGACGTACGTTACTGGCCAGTTATAAATCCTCCATTGATAACAGATTTATCGGAACGCTCTGGCATGTTGTAATTCAACACTTATCACGATTAAGTCATTCTGACCTACAGATGATATACATAGATAAACCCAATACATGGTACATTAATAGGCACCCCAAAATTACAGCATGTTTGAAAGCATAAGAACTTGTTCTTGTATGAAATTCAGTCGCAAATTACTTTCCATTAGCCCGAAACTAGATCGTGCTTACAATTACCCAATTGTAAGTCATAGACTAGTTCTTGTCGGAAATCACCCGATAGTCAGCCCCGAACTAGCTCTTGTCTGAAAATAACCAATTGTCAGCCCCGAACTGGCTCTTTTCTAAAAAGAAACCAACCGTCAGTCCCGAACTAGCTCTTGTCTGATAATAACCAATCGACAGTCCCAAACTAGCTCTTGTCTGAAAATAACCAATCGTCAGCACTGAACTGGCTCTTGTTTCATAATAACCAATCGTCAGCCCCGAACTAGCTCTTGTCTGAAAACACCACATCGCCAACCCAGATCTAGCTCATGTCTGAAAATCACCAATCGTCAGCACAAAAAACCAGCTCTTGTCTGAAAATAACCAATCGTCAGCCCCGAACTAGCTCTTGTCTGAAAATAACCAATCGTCAGAACTGAACTGACTCTTGTCTGATAATAACCAATCGACAGTCCCGAACTGGCTCTTGTCTGGAAGCACCTCATCGCCAACCCAGATCTAGCTTTTGTGTGAAAACACCACATCGCCAACCCAGATCTAGCTCTTGTCTGAAAATAACCAATCGTCAGCCCCGAACTAGCTCTTGTCTGAAAATAACCAATCGTCAGTCCCGAACTAGCTCTTGTCTGAAAATAACCAATCGACAGTCCCGAACTAGCTCTTGTCTGAAAATAACCAATCGTCAGAACTGAACTGGCTCTTGTTTCATAATAACCAATCGTCAGCCCCGAACTAGCTCTTGTCTGAAAACACCACATCGCCAACCCAGATCTAGCTCATGTCTGAAAATCACCAATCGTCAGCACAAAAAACCAGCTCTTGTCTGAAAATAACCAATCGTCAGCCCCGAACTAGCTCTTGTCTGAAAATAACCAATCGTCAGAACTGAACTGACTCTTGTCTGATAATAACCAATCGACAGTCCCGAACTGGCTCTTGTCTGGAAGCACCTCATCGCCAACCCAGATCTAGCTTTTGTGTGAAAACACCACATCGCCAACCCAGATCTAGCTCTTGTCTGAAAATAACCAATCGTCAGCCCCGAACTAGCTCTTGTCTGAAAATAACCAATCGTCAGTCCGAACTAGCTCTTGTCTGAAAATAACCAATCGTCAGCCCCGAACTAGCTCTTGTCTGAAAATAACCAATCGTCAGTCCCGAACTAGCTCTTGTCTGAAAATAACCAATCGTCAGTCCCGAACTAGCTCTTGTCTGAAAATAACCAATCGTCACCCCAAAACACTAGCCCTTGTCTGAAAATAATCGTTCGTCAGCCCCAAAACTGGAACCTTGTCTGAAAATACCAAATCGCCAGCCCCAGAACTAGAATCTTGTCTGGAAATACCAAATCGCCAGTCCCATCACACACGAACGACCTAAAGAGAGTGTAATCCCGTTTGTGACGTCATACTGCTATCTTTATTGTAGGCATTTTGACCGTTGCTTAAACTCGCTCAGAGACACGCCTGCCATAACATTTATTTATAC